CAATGAGTGGCAGTGGAGGGGGGGGAGGGCCCTTTCAACCAGGCCTTTGATGACATTGATGATTCAAAACAAGAATGTTGACGACTGATGAAACTTTGAAGGGGGAATTTCACGACAAGTTGGAAAATTGAACGATTGATTTATACTTTCCTTTCTCTCCCTTAATCTTGGTATTGTTTTTAAATGTGGCGGAGAGCTCCTCAAGATTGACGTGTTTAGGGATCTGGGCTGATAGGCTCACGGTTAATTCCACTTTGTCTCTTTCTGACTTATTTTTGGAAATCTTCGAATTGAGTCTATCATTAAAATTTAGCATTGCAGTCTATATCAATAGAGAGCCATTTGTTGACCAGGAGATGACTTGCCTGACAGCTGAAAGAAGTTCCCTCGCATTTTGGGGCATGACGGGAAACAGAGTTGCGAGCATGTTTGCCACAGCACCAATGTAGAGAGTCCAGAACATGGCATCTGAATGATGGCTTTCAATCACTCCTTTCAGACCCTGCCAGAGAAGTTCGTCGGATGGACCGATGTCGTTGCCCCATCTAGCGCAAGTTGTCAAAGCTAACAAGGCACGAGTGAGATGCGTTAGACCCGGACAATCTGGGTCGCGGATAATAGCATGGTGAAGAGCACTCGAGCTATTGCTGTTAGAGCTGTGACCGGTCCGAGCCCAAATTTGCCTAATAAATAGAGCTCCTAGCCCAGGAGCAAAAATCGTCGGAATATTGTTCAGGTCGTCTTGAGTCGCTGGTACTGACGCTGAAAGCAAGCCCAAGATTGCATTAAACAGCGGCTTCTCCGTCTTTGTGACATTTGCCAAGACCTCTAATGGATTGCTTTCCCGAACATCTTTGGGCATCTTCATAAAAAGGACACCCTGCCTATTTGAGCCGCCGCAGAAGGTCACGCGGCGGATATTGGGCACGACGGCGATAAACGATTCAATAACCGTGGCAATGGCCGGGAACTGCTGACGCCGCCTTTTTGACATGCCATAAATCTTACCATCATGCTCATCGTTGACTTGGCGCATCTTGGTTGGTTGGTTGAACTGCGAGCCTGGGACAGAATACGTATGGGTTGAAGGAATTGGGTAGGGTGAGATTGGGTCGTTGTGCATCAACATGCTTCCGTAGCCGCGAAATCCACCACCGCACATGTACACATCGACAGATGCGTCTTGCCCCCTTTCATATGCTTCCTTGATGGCTTGGAGGGCAGGGAATCTGGCACATAGGTTAGAATATATGCGTGCAATCCCGTTTTGCAACGTGCAAATCTCCTTGGCCTGGACCTCAGCTGACTGCCCGTCGAGAACCTTTGTGAGCTTTGCCGCACCGTACGGAAGGCTCTCGCCGGCCATGGCAGCGTCGATTTCATAATTGTCCTTGCTGGTATCAACCCATGTCATTTGCAGGCTGCCACCGCCGAGGTCGAGGAATAATGCGCCATTGTGGACCGAAACCAAGCCGCTTCTTGATCCCGTAACAGCACCAAACAAGGTTTCCACGGCAGGATCAAGAACTTGCACGCCAAGTCCATCTGTTTCAGCTGCAATGGCCTCCAACAATTCACTTCCATTCACGGCACGCCGCATTGCCTCCGTGGCCAAAATCATAATTTGCGATTGGGGCACACCATGCATAACAGCTATGTGGCGGAATCCCGATAGGGCAGATGCGACGGCCTTGATAATTTCAGAGGGAAATATTGGCCCCCGGTCCGAAGGCGTCAAAGCATCGAAGAGAGATATGGCTACTCGACTGGAGTAGACGGGCTCAAGGAGCCTCGTGGTAGGAGGTTTTAGGGACGTAATTGAAAATCGGATTCCATTACTATGATTCCACTTAGAATAAAATTTTCAATTGGGCAATTCACAGTAAGCAAACCTTCCCATGTCAACAATAGCATAGAGATGATTTTCATAGTTGGGATGCCATAGTGGGAGTTTCTCGTGGAGGGTCTCCAGGGTTATGACATCCGACGGAGGCATGGTGGGAGACAATGATCAAGCCGGCCGTGGCCGAGAAAAATCAAGATACAAGATGACGATGAAGTCCAACGGGAGTGCGAAGTGATTGGGTCGGCTAGAGGCCGTGGGAGTTGGGTATCATAGCATGCGCATCATCAGAAGTAAAAGGTGGACGGTGAGGCTTCTCTGCGGCCGAAATTTTGGGAAGTCACGATTGAAAGTGGGGTGAGTTGATATCAGGGTATGGACCAAGTCTGGGCAGGTGCTCCAACGGGCGAGCCGAGTTCTCAAGTGGGCAGGCAAATATCCGAGCCTCATACATACGGAGTACTTCTCCATACTTCAAATACCCCATGCCCTGCATGCACCCCATATTCCTTGCCACCACAGGTCCCGAGAAAGCCATTGCCCATGCTTGTTAAGGTGAGAATGAATTTCCAAACATACGTATTCAAAAAGAATCAATAATACATTTATCCCTTGTTTTCTTGATATCCATGGTTGAATACGAGGTGCAGAATGGCCATGGTTAGGGCACACCAGCCATAACACACCAAGCACCGACAGATATCCATATCTAGGCAAGACCTGCTATCACGATTGCGCAAGTCTAGTTGTAAGCCATATATGGCGCCCTATTGAAATGCTCTGAAAGCAACTGTCTAAGAATAAGGATAAACAAAATACCCTGCCGGTGAACCTAGAGAAAACGAATCTTGGCTTCGCGTCGACGTGTTTCTGTATCCTCCGTCTACGTTCGTCCAGCCAACGAGCCTTTTCGCAGGTAGTGGATAGCCGGTGAATGGCGCACTTGCGGCATACGGGTCCGGGGACGGGAGTCAGCATCAACAAGGGTAAGAGACTCGGGCATAACACCTCTTGAGAAGTCTAATAATTTTGCAGAGCTAGACAATCAACCGCGACTCATAGTTGCCAAAACGTTGCCCAACCTCCTTATATTGTACATGCACGCTTATGCTTGACGGGAAAACAAGATGATGTCACAACGTTGGGTTGGGTGCTAACCAAGCAGCAGCTTGCGCTGTTGGGCAGAAATAAATGCAATGCCAATTGGCACTACATCTGGAAGTGAGAAGCTTACAGCTCGCATGAAGACCAGGACCAAGGAATCGACCTCATTCTTTGGCGCCTCGGATGGACGGCTTGAACGGGAACATTTCCGTCCGGGCCTTGTGGCATTAAGTCGGGCACGAATCGGAGCTGCTATTATGTGTATTCCTAGCCACAGAAAAGGATCTTCCAGGATGGGGTCGTATCTGGAATGCAGGAAAGCGAAAAGAGGGGACAGTTGGGTTTGCCTGTGACGCATCAAGTTCCTGCGTGTGCATTCTGCGTGTCTCAGTGGACAGACTCCATGGTTAGCCGGGAGACTGGGTGACGGGGTCAACCGCACTCCTCTACTCCGTAGTATATGGCGGACGAGCCGTTCCGAGTCCCATCTCGTTCTCTAGAAGTTATTGGTGTGGTAATGTTGCTTCCAGGGCATTTACTTGTGCCCTAGTGCTCAGTACTCTTCCATCACTGGAGAGCATGATGTCTCGACCGGGACGGCTAATTATAAGGTTGGTGTACGGAGTAGGGGCGGCTGCTCGGCATCCTTTCCCTCGCAACCTAGGGGCCAGAATTGTTAATAGAAGAGCTGGCCTCAACACTGGCCGGTTGTTATCTCGCGAGTGGACGTTTGGCTCGGCCCATCCAGCTGCCTTGGGTGCTACCTGCAAGCGGTTAACAATCACTCCACACGCCACCCCGCTGCATGGCTGACACTCCACGATACACTTCTTCATCCTGTACATGATAGACTGTAGCGATTGGCTCTCCAGTGACGGACTCGCAGACCTGGTTTGTTCTCTTTGTGGAACCAACATCACGATTGGTCCTAGTTCGAGAAAGGAAGTCAAGGCAGACGGGGATGTGAAGCGAGATCCTTCTCTAATTCCAGACAGAACATTAGTATTACTCCGTACTACTCCGTAGTACGTAGTGAGTTCCCAATCGCCGCAGTCGAGTGAAACACGAGGACAATGTCGCCATATGGCCGGCGTCTGGAACAGCGCGCTGGCTAAAATCCCGTCTCGCCAGGGTAGTGTTTTGTGTTTTGACCATGTGGTTGTGTTCCAGGACCGGAACGCTCTTTGCGAACCGAGCAAGCCGGCATTCCAATGTTCGTTGCATTGACAATGGCTCTGACAAGTACTGTCTGCCATGGATGGCTTCATGCTGGTGATTTCTTTTCTAGATGGCTCTGCTACTTTTTCCCTCCCCTGCGAAGGCGTAGGTGTATGACAAGGGGTCTGAAATGGAAGGGGCACGTTTTTGTGTTGCCGTTTGATGCGTTGAGAACCGGCAATTACAGGAGATGAAGCGCACGACTTTATAGTCGAAAAGAAAACCGGTGAAGCCAATAGTCAAAACTTTGGCCACATGTCTGCAGGAGAAAGAAACTGCCACGAAGTACTCTGTACAACCTGATCACTGGCGCTTCGGCTCTGTAGCGGCATCTATAAGGCATCAGCTCATGTATCAGCACCAGTCCATTGCAGACGACATCTCGTATCACTGGAGGACCTTTTTTGTGTATTCTCTATAGTGCATTGATCCTAACGCATACACCATATGCTTTGAGAGATACTCCGTACGAAATGCCCCGTCAGCAGGAACACCACTTCAATTTGTTGTGAGTCGCTCAATCACCGCTGAGAAGCGCAGTCGAGACTTGACAGTCCGCAAGTCCAAGAACGTGGGCATTCACGTCATTCAAGGGACTGGGGTCTACAATGTGACCAATGTGATCAACGTGCGCCCCTTGGAATCTTGGGAGGGGAATCAGGGGATAGACTGTGGTGATGCAACCCCAGAATTCAAGCTTGACATGGCAGCATCGGAAGTGTAGGGAGTGTTCCGCGAATGGATGAGGCGACAAGTCGACTTGTAGAGATTGGCTCAAGCCGCGTAAAACCATGTCGACTACTCCGCGTTGGCACAATATTGTATGCAGTGCTCAGCAGAGTACCAGGTACCAAGTAGTTATCAGGAAGATGGCTCAGAGCACAAGGGCATATCTGGGCGTGAAGACATGCAGAGAGTTCATGCTGGAATGCATGCTAACTGCTGCGTGGGATCGAGGTGAAGTCAGACGCGCCCCACCAGCCACTTGAAGCAGAGCCCATCGCCATGCACGCTTCCCCGCTCTCGACGCGTCAGAAACGCGTTGCACGCGACTTCGCGTTGATCCAGTCCACGCACAATTCTAGTCGGACCAGAGACTTTCTACACAATCCTCAATTGGCGATTGAGCGAGGCAGAGCCGATTTCCTCAGCGTGTCTCTGTAGTCATAACCGAACCGCACCAGAAGCTGGCATCGAGATGCTTCATCAAAGTGATGGTTTCCCTGACGTCTTGCCACGACGGGGCTGACAGAGGCGCCTATCGCAATCCAGAATGCTGCGAGTTCCTCTTTCTCGCCCAACTACTCCGTAATCACCTACCTGAGTAGTAGCCTAGTAGGTACCTAGTAGTCAAATAGGGTTCTTTCGCCCACACTAGATTGTACACCAAGGCTACAGTTGATGATGGGAGGAGAAACGGTTGCTCTTTCCCACCATTTGTGTTAAGAAACAAGGAAATAACCACATACACTTTCGCACCGTCCAATGCTTGACATCTAACGGCCAATCCCTTCCCAGACAGCAATCACTGTGACCATCACCAGCCTCCTCCTTTCCATCTCTTTGCCGACGTTGTAATGCTGCTGGCCATGTTGACGGATTGTACCTGGATAGCCTCCCGAGCCTTTGCATGCACACTTGAGTTCTGGGCGGCCAAGCTATTCGTCGTCCAGAGATATGAGCATATTAAGCTCGCAAGTGACGACGCCAGGGTTAAGACAAGAATTGGCCTCCGCCATCATCGTCCTTCAACACACGATTACGGAATAGTGACCGTTGCCATGGTCCCTCCTCCACCGCTAGTTTAATCACCAAGCAAAACACCGCATTGTCTTTGATCCCATCTGCGCTGCTTAATTCTACTTGTCGAATGTGGATGATTGGCATGTGCATGACTCTTGGAGCTAGACAATGACCAGCAACCGGTTGCCCGTCTTCGAGGCTCTGTTAACTACCTACCTAGGTAGGTAGTTGTCTGCCAGCAAGTCGTTCTACTTCTCGTCTTGGTCGTTGTCCTCGGTCAAAAATAGAGAGCTATTGGTAACTCGTCGGTAGAGTCGGTACGTGGTACGCAACGCATCATACGAGGAACTGAGAGGCTGCATATCGAAGCAGCAGTGTTCACCAATTGTTTATTGAAGACTCTCTTTTTGCTTGGGTTGCAGACACCACTGCTGCCACTTCCCATGCTGCCGCCCAACTCTAAAAACGACACATCCAAGGGCGTCTCTGCTAGGCCTTGGAAGTGTTGATGACAGCAGCTCCGTTGCAGTGAGAGGCATTTCGAGACGTTGGCGAGCGGACAGGTTGGGTTCTGCACGCTCCGCACGTTGCAGAGGACGTCTGGACGGACCGCCCGACTAGCTTCGCAGACACACCCTGGTGTCTTTCCACCGCCATCACCGCCAAGGTCCTTGTCGAGCTCCAAGCTGAGAGGCTCCCAGGCGGTTGAGCACGCCGACATCGAGGGTGGGACTCGAGCGTTCAAGTGGGGGCGCCGTCGTGCGTTTTAGTCGGCAGCTCTGGTGCGTCTGGATGGGTCCTCGTGAGCAACGGACCAGAGCGCGTCGAGACACGGCCACCAAGCAACAAGCCAGTGGCCAGTGGTGCAAATCGACAGAAACGACAGGCGCCATTTGGGCATAACTAGCCTGCAGCTTGAGCACTGTGTGCGTGGCCCCTGTCCGGAGCAAGAGGAGGAGGCCTGGCGTTGTTCCAACAGGGTCCTTGCCCATCCCGCACCTCCCGCACCTCTCTGGTTCTGTCTGTCGACATACCGTCAACTCGTCTTCTACGCTCTCTGCAGCCTCTGCAAGTCTCTGTGCGTGTCCTTGGCCACCCCCTCCCACCCTCCGGCGTCTCTCGACTCTCCTCGCTGCCCCAAAACATCTCTCAACTCCACCGCCATACATACAAACTGCTCCTCCACACCCGGGCACCCTGGGCCCATACTCCTCTCCTTCATCCTCATCATTCCAGTCCCTCTTTTGCGGTCGCCGTCCCCTCTGTGCGCCCATACGCCTGTGGGCAGAGTTGCTCTCGATTGCCAGTTGCTGCGTCGCGACGCCGCCGCTCCCATTTCTGGACGACGAAATTGCTAGCTGCTGCACTATCGCGACGCTCCGTGCTTCAATAGCGACTCGACATTTCCTTGATCCAACCTTGGCCGACAGCAGCGGCAGGCGCAGACTCTACCGACCTCGCCGCCTCGCTCGGCGCCCGTTTGCCGTCCTCGCGCACGACACTTTCGCGACGGCTCGTCATTTTTTCTTTGTCTCTGTACTACTTATGAAACAATAATATTTGCTTCTGCGATTCTTCGCCGCAGCGCATCCCTACATCAATCGCGTGGCTCGACGCAGCGACCGAGACTCTGCATTCCAGCTGCGACAAAGACTTGTCTAGCTTTGCGACAAAGTCGGCCTGGCCGGCGTAGCGATTCAAAACCGAGACCACAACAGTCCTCAAAACTAAAGAAAGAAACTTAGACGACCTTGCAGCCGACTTTCGGTCTCTCTGGCGCTGTTTCCATTTTTGCAACTTCCGCGACGAGTTTCCTCTGTTCATCCCCCCTTGCTTCAAACGCCACCCCGTGCGCCTTCCGAGATCAACGACCATCGCGCAGGACCCGCGACAAACGTCATCGCATAATTACAACGCCAACCATCTTCCAACAATGCCCCCCTTGGAAGCCGTCGGGGCCGCTCGCCCACGGCATCTTCGCCAGGCAGCAGTGGCGCCCAAAACCCCAGAACCATTTGCTGAAATCCAAGCGCAACCCCCGTCACCAGCGCGACCCAAGTTTCGCTTAAGGAGGCGAGCTACATCATCACAACTCAACGCCCCGACGCAACAATTCCTCGCATCAGTTGCCGCCGCCGACGTTCCTGTTCCCAGTATTGAAGGGCCTCAGGTATACGACGACGAAGACATGCTGAGCATCGCTTACCCGTCTATTCCTCAACTGGACCGGATTGACGACGTCGCATTTGAACACCCAAGTCGGAGGACCACCTTCTCACCGCCCAAGACTCCAGCACCCGAATTCCCTGCATCGCCGTCAACGAAGCAGTTTCCAGACTGGTCAATCGATGCTGCCCTTAGCAGCCGTGAGTCCAGCCCCGAGTATGACAGCAGCCGACCTTCCACGGCAAGGTCGAGCGAGACCAGCTCGTCACTGTTTAGTCGCTTCTCTCTTGCATCGGAAGACCTGAGCCAATGCGCTAGCCCTGAGAGCGATGATTGTGACCGGTTTGGCAGTTTCCTTTCGCCAGAGGATGCCGATAGGACGATTAGGTCACTCATGACTGCTACACGATCAGCTAAATCAAGAAAAGCTCCTTGGACCAGGGCAATGAGCCAGCATCTTTGGTCCACATATGCCATGTATCTGCAAGATCCGAAGGTTACACCTTTCCAAGTTGGCAAGAGCGGCATTCCTCCACCCGGAGTCTGCATGCGCGTGGCCAGGGAAGCCAAGAGAAGCTGGAAAGGCTCCAGGCCTGTGGTGATATCCGGAATCAAGAGCGGCAGTTCAACGCCAACAGGCGAGGCTGCTGGGCCATATATTGAGTGGCCACACACATGCGCAGCCACCAGAGGTCACTTGCGAGAGCTCTGCAAAGCTCGCAGCGGGCCATCTCGCAGCCTCCAAAACCTTTCCAACAGCCCGGCATCATTTGGGAAGTCTATAAATCGGTTTTGGAACCGTCGATCAGCGCCTGCCGGCTCTCCCTCAGTTTTCTCTGGTTCAGATATGGCTATGTCCCTAGCTGTTTGCACATCAGATTCCATGCAACTCCAAGGGCCTTTGGCCCAGTTGACCGCCTCGCAGCCCGAACCGTCAACGGAGGCCACCACGCTAGGACACCAGCCAATGTCCGCCCTTGGAGACACAGACACCTTCGATCAACCCAGACCACCTCTCGGGTCTCCCTTCATTGCTAGAAGTTATGGACCTAGCTCATCCACAGGGTTGGAAGAGGCCTTTGATTTCAGTCCTGAAGCCCAACGACAAGCCCGGACGGTCGGTACGCGGCGAGGCTTGAGATCGCCTTTGAGACTCGACCAGAGTCGGTCGAGCATGCAAAAGCGCAGATCTAAGCAGTCCGTGTTAGAACCACAACGTACCAAGCGGCCTAGTCTAGGCTCGGACTTCTGGATAGATCCAGCAAGCAACGAGAATGAGGCATCCAGTGCGCCCCTTATCCAATTCAGCTCCACCGATTCCAACCATCATGACAGCCTTTTTGTTCCTCGCGCCAACTTGCAGGAACTCTTCGAGGCCTCGCATCCTGGTCCGGCACCAGCTGGGCCCTCGAGTTTCCCCCCAACAACTGGCTTGACGCCTTCACAGACTGTCCCCGCCAGGCTAGGCTCGCCATTCTCAGCAAAGGCTACGAGCCACTCATTTCCGAACCGCCACTTCAGCGTCTCGACAATCAATGTGGACGCTGTCGTCCGTCCATTTGCTACTGTACACCAAACTGGCGGGGAGAGTGTGAACAGTACTTCGTCATCATCTAACAAGACGCCACTCGCCAACCGCCTTGCATATATCGATGAACGCCTGAAGGGCTTTCGCCGCGGAGACAGAGAGGGTCGACGGTCGCAATCGCCTTTCTGAATATGCTGTCTCCTTAAAATATCCGGAAATATAATGATACTTACGATTTATTCACCATTTCCCGCAATTATATATATACCTACTTTGTATTTCGCGCTACCTAGCACTTTTTGCAAGACGACGAACTCCCAACAAGAGTCGACAGCAATTTAACTTGGTACAATTTTCGTGACGATTTTACGACTGAATGATGATTAAAGAGGGTTAACAGACCTCGGAGAAGCGATAGCTATATTTACTACTAGATTTTCTTTTTGAAAAAAAAAAAAATTACCATATTCGGCTAGCAGCTATGTCATTTGATATACTGCCTACTTTCTGTGTGCTTGTGCCTTGGACACGTGTTTCTGCCTCTATATCTACGATTATAAATATAGTGTAATGGAATTGATGTTTTTTTTTTTCAACTCTTTGTCAGGGACTAGCCTAACAAGGCTACTTGGCAACAGAATATAATGGGGTATAGTTGCTGCTCAGTCAGAGCGCGTTCTTTTTGTGACACTATTGAGTATCAGCACGAACCGGTCCTTCCTGCCACGGCGGCAAAAGGGCACGGATTGAACATGTCGTCCGACTGCTCGTTCAAACGATACAATATAGCCAACGTCAACAGGCAGGGTCGGGCGTAGCCCAGACCATCACACTCTTTGTTATTTAACGGAGAGCTGTTATCCAGGTAGACTCGATATAAGGGTATAATATATCTAGCTGCTATCTATTTATCTATATATTTGATTAAAACAAGAGGGACTGGAGTGGCAAGAGAAACAGACGTTGCCCACGTAACACCTATGTCTCGGAATAGTACCTTGATATCTACCTAGGTACCCAGGTAGGTTACGGGCAATAGTAAATAGCGATTCACACGCATTACTTCTCCTGTACCTACAACTGTAGGCGTGTCAAGGAGCAGCTTTGTAGGGTATTGGCTCTAGAATTCGTTACTACTAGCCACGAAGCTCAATAACATGCACAGTCGCCTTGTGATATTCTCCCTGCACTTTTTAACATGGCATTCGTCATCTAGCTACGTATGGATCTTCCCAATCCATTCTTCAATAGGAAATTCGTTGCATGATATTGTACATGTTCCGCATAAGGGGCTATCGTTTGATCGGCAACACCTGCCAAATACCGTAGCCCGCCCCGTTTCATTCCGAGTAACTTACACGCCTCACCCGTTTCTTCGCCTCCAACTCAATGCGCTAGCCCACGCTCATTATTCAACTAGCTGTTCTTTCGTAAGAAACCCCTGAGAAGAAGAAGAAGCAACGAAATTGAGATAAAAGTGTAAAAACAACTTCCTCTTATCCCTGCAAAATAATAAAAATACTTGAGAAAAATACTATCCTTCCCTCATCTCACTCGAGATGGGCCTCACGTGCCTTAACCTCGCCTCCTCCCGCCCGCCACTCGTAAATAGCGGCTCTGGTATAAGTTCCCGAACACCGTTATACGAATCCCTTAGCCGCAAGCGCCCGTCAGCGTGTTTACTCCGGCTCCTCCCGTGGCTATGCGGGCAGCGTCGCTCGCCGATGGCGGCACGATGCGAGTGGAACGAGCACTCGCGGAAGCCGAATAGGCGCTCGTCATTACGTAGCTTATTAGCCGGGATGCGAAGTTGCGGGTTTTTGGAGCGTACATCCAGCCCGGCGGCCTTCATTTTACGGATATGCGTGGTGTAGTCGTTCGCGAAGTCAGGCAGCGAGTCGAAGAGGGCCCTGAACCGCGCCGGGTCCGAGGTAGCGGAATCCTGGGGGTGGAACTTCAAGTTCGCGATGCTGCTGCCGACTGTCTGTGAGAAGGCGACCATAGCCACAGCCCATCTGCGGACGCGGACGGCCGGGAGGGACTCGCACTGCGTGTAGAGGTAGGTAATTAGGCTTGGCGGCACGTCCCAGTCGTACTTTAGGTACATGTCTTGGATGGCGTCCATAGCTAGGTCTTGTAATTTGTGAAGGTCCAGGTGCGAGGCGAAGAGGTGTAAGCGGATAATAGCCCAGTGGATGTCCTGCGCCGCCTTCTCGCTCATGTTATGGGCTGAGGCTATGGAATGATCGAGGAACCGGCGGAACGAGCCCGGGGCGTGAACCCAGTTCACGAAGAGGGCGAACATGGTGGAAGATTCACCGGGGAGCCAGAGGCAAATTGATTTCGGCTGAGAGTTTTCTAGGAGGCGCTCAGAGAAGAAGGGCGATGCTTCGCAAAGGAGTTGGCGGTTCACGCTGAAGGGTTGCTGCTTAGCCCCGATAAGAACGGTTGTTGTTGAGCTTGGGGTTGGTTCTGAGGAGGTAGACCGGGAGGTGGATTGGGATGCGGCAATGTTAGGTGGCGGAGGGAGGGTTTTATCGAGGCTAGGTCTTGGTGATGATTTGAAGGCGGTTGTGTGGTGCTGATGGTAGTGGTGCTGGCGTTGACGACGAGAGTGCCATGGTGGGCGGAGGCGATTGATGGGCACCATGGCATCAATAGTTTAGACAGACTCGGAATGCCCGCTCAACTAAGCGTCCTGTACTCGTTTCTCTTGAACCCGACTCTTCACTCAACAGTAGCCGTGTCGATAGGCGTGTGTAGACGGAAGAATGAATCGAATCTACAACAAGTACTGCATAACAAGAAGAGCAAAACCCGCTCTCCTCCCGCAAAAGCCGGCAAACCCAACAGCCTGTCTGTCCCTGTACCGTCCCGAAAAGCCAAGACGGGAAGACGCACGGAAGATGTGATGTCGGTTTCTTCCTACAATCAGTTAGTAAAAGAAAGTGACGAACAAGGTTGCTCGAGCCCAGGGCCGATACACCAGTCGGTGCACAGAACGCACCTTATGACACGCACATATCATCAACCATAAACCTAGCTAGACAGACCGGGACAGGACCAAGGACATGGGAAACGAAAAGAACTAGTATCTACTCCGTAGGAAGGGATCATAAAGTGAGACCAACTATAAACTAGAAGACGCTAGTAACCTGGGCTGCTGGTTAATACGCACAGCTCATCTTTTGAACATGACAATTGCCCTCGCCTCTAGCTGTTTTGCAATACGAAAAACGAGTAAGCAAGTCCGTAACCTAGAAACCCCCCCCTTCTCCGGGAAGAATCAAGGGATCTTGAAACAGCGTTGTATGCTCCTGTCAAGACGGGTCAAACATCCAGTTTGGTGCTAGCATGACGCCGAGGACTTACTCATAACACTTTTTTTGCCTTACTATTGGGACGTGGCCGCCTCACCGGTGGTACCGGCATGCTTCATGTGTAAGACTATTATGCTCCATGACAAACAAAAGAATAGTGTATGAGTGCTAGATGATCGCTAGGGATTCCCACCGTCCCGTGCCAATCACACATCTCCAAGGGGAGAAATGTCGAGCAGACTTGTTGGCCGAACGTTTCATGACACCCACGACACCCCTGTTGTTGCAAGCATGGTAAGCAGCCAACCCCCAGTTCCCAAATGCTTGTTGCTGTAGTCCGTATCAGCTTGGGAGAAGACCGAAGGCTTCCCAGTGACCCAGAGCAGAATAAAACAAACACATAAATGGTGGCATTGGTAATTAAACATGTCGGGTGCGTGCATGTAGCTCTTCTTATCAACCCATGTTCCCCGTTTTTTTACCAGCAATGCCGAGCTAGGATCGACGCTGTTTTCCCAAGCGATGGGTTCGTGCTTCTCGCGTCAAGGTAGCACATACTAATTGCGGGGGGGCACTGGTTTTGACTTCCTCTCTTTTTCCTTTCAAATGCTTCCAGTTCCCCCGTATCGCCTTGGCGACCGGGAAGACGACCTGCTTGCAGCATGGAGCTGATTCATGAAGGTTCCATCTTCAAAGTGTGGTCCGATCCCTTGATGCCCACTCTGTCGGCTTGTGCATATTCAAATACTCGGCGCTCATCTGGGAGGCCTCAAGGAAAACTTGCGTCAGGCTGATATAAGGAGAGAGGAGAAAGGGAAAATAAAGAGCCAATAAGGCAGCGCGGTTCCTGGCTCAATGACCATCAGACAGACTCCAACAAAAACGTGGGCGTGACTTCTCAGTCGTGCTCGGTTGATGGCGTCGATGCTGCGAGGAGCTGACTCGACCGGGGGCCACGGGAGACAGACGCACGGCTGTGGGTCGATACGCACCCATCGATCAAGCACGCAGTAGGGCGTAGCATTGTGTCGATTTCGCTTTGTGTTTCTGTTCCTGCGCGCAGTTCGGAGTAATCAGTAACAGAGGCAGATGAGCCTGGGGGTGGGGGGAGGCAAAGTACCCGCATTGGTTTGTCACAGCCACGCACCGACTAATTCAAAGTGCACGTACAGAGTTGCGGAATTGTGTAAATTGACCATCACAAGTCATTTTGTCAAACACCCTGGGCCATCCCGATCCCGCGGGCGCAGCAGAACCCTTCTACGGGCTCGGACCAAGTATGCCGGAATATAATAGGGGAAGGGGAAAAAAAAGGACAAGTACCGTCCTGGTCACCGGACAAGATGATAATAGATGATAATCCGTGTTCAATGAACGAAACGCCTATCCCACCTGGCCAACTAAACTACCTAGGTACCTACCTAGGGTAGGAACCTCTATGGCCAGGTGAACGCTCAGGGATGCAAGGGCACGGTTTCCCGTGAAGCCGATGCTCACGATAGCTGTCCCTCCATCCACAGTCCGCACGCGATACCAGCTAACGCAGCCGCGACCTCGGCTCCATGACAGAAATCCCCGGCTGACAAACAATTTGGAAGCAAGCATATGACCATCCTACGATGCACCTTTCATCCACGATCGTGATCCAAGAGCCGTCGTGCTCCATACAGATATTGACCCCCTGGACCGAGACGAACGGAATGCAAAGGCCCCCTCGTAATGTCATCCCGTGTATCAAAGCGTTGATCGTTGCGAACCATGGCGCCCAGCGCGCGCACACAGTTAATAGGCGGTTCCCCGGTGCCGTCATCAATCGCCCGCTTTGTCCACCTGGGGTCGGTTTCAGAGAATGCAAGTCACAAGGTTGCGCTGCGTGGCCGCTATCATGCGCCGCATACATGCATCGTGAGTTTGGTCGATTGATTGCGTCAACGTAGGGACTGGGCAAACTTCAGCTCATAAGTCTTGCTTGGCCCGAGGGCTTGGAACAAGCTAACTAAGTCCCTGCCGAGGTGACCGAGACCAATAGGGTATATGACATAGGTAGCGAAAGCTAGTAGTTTCAACTTCGGAGCTTTATCATCCAACAATTGAATGTGAAATGAGTATCCATCCTCAGCCCTTGCTTTCACCCCGAGATGTTATTCATTCCTGTTCATGTTCTGCTCCTCATGCCATCAGTTCCTGACTCCCTGCGCCAAGTCTCCTCCTGCATTTTGCCACAAAGATCATCATCCTTGCAAAACGCAAATGTGATATATTGCTCCCGGTTCCCACAAATCACGCATAAACTCCCTTGAGAAAAAAAACTGGCTCCAGGACCACAAATATTGGTTTCCGCCGCCGTAGCTCCAAATGCATCCCGCCAATCATAAACATCAGAAGTTGATTCGACCAATCATGCTGGTTGCGCTCACATCTATTCTGTCAAAACAGCAGGGATGTCGCCGTCTTCTTCCTCAGAGTCAGAGTCTGTGTCTTCGGTATCAGTACTGTCGTCGAGCTGCATCGGGTCGTTGCATGCTCCTGTCGCCGCCACCGGGGCGTCTGGGGTAGCTTTGGCAACATTACTAGTTGACTCCTTCGCTGATTGGGGCTGTGGTGTTGAATGGTCTTGTGCTGTCGTAGTGGTAGGATCTATGTGCTCTGCCGTGGCTGCTGATGCACCTAAGCCACCCATATCTGCCAGTCGAACTCGCTTCCGTGGTGAATCATCAGCAGGGCTTGAGATAGCAGGCTGCGAGGTAGGTGCAGAATCGCCTCTTTCGTTGATACGAGACTTCTTTCCCGCTGGTACGGACCCATTCTGACTGGCCGATGCTTCTTGTCGCTGTGCAAGATTTTCTTCCGGTGGTGCTGTGATCAGCCTCTCGCGCTCTGCCTCAATTTCGGCTTTGGTGCGTCTTTCCCGAAGTTTGACCCCATACTTCCTGCGAGTTGTTGATTGCTTTGTATTAAAGCAGTTTTTGATTTTGGTTGTCTCTTCATCTTGCTCTGGTTGTGGAAGTAGCATGGCCCTTCGCAAGAGTGCACCATAGTGTGATTCAGTATGTGCCAATTCCGCTTCAAGCCGCTTTCTGTCCTCGGGCGAGAGGTGTGCATATGGGTCAGAATTTTTCCCTGCTGCAGACGCAGTTCGAGGCGTCATCGTGGCCGCCGTGCTTGAGTTTACAGCTTTGAAACGAGCGGCCGGGGAAGATAGCTGCGCAGGCCGGATCCGACTCTGATCTTGGGTTGACGAAGGCGTTGATTGTGGCTCCCGGGTTGCTCCAGAGGCTCCGGCAGAAACATGCTCTGCATAGAACTTTCGTAGCGCCGGAATAAGGACAGAGGCGTCCTTCTCGGTGTATTTACCACACACTTGCGTCTTCATATGATGCGACAAAGCACCCCAAGAATTGAAATTGCATCCGCAGTGAGTGCAAATTTCTTTGCCAACACGGTCCATCGTCCTGAAATTGCCGTAGCATACCTGTCTCAATTTATGCTGACATGAGTTAGTTTGCTGCAGGGTACATAATGTTGGACTCGGTTGGAGGAGCCAGGAGAACCTACAAATTCCAGCGCGTCCGGACCTGATAACGGACGACTGCAGACTCCACACTGAGTCGAAGTGGAATAACAGTGCCGATCATTTGGCGTTTTCGTCGCCTGCGGTTGCGGCCATGTAGAGGCCGGCATTGCTGGTAGAGATTGCATTTGAACTGGCTGGATTGAAGACTGCGCCGAAGGCTGCACCAGAGGCTGCTCATGCTGTGACGGATGTTGGGCCAAATCATACTTTAAGTACGGGATAACATGTTCAGTTCCATCCTTCCTCTCCTCGACAACATCCTTGACATCATATCCAAGACGCTCTGCCTTGGCGAGAGCATTTACCAGCGAACGGGCACGAATGGTCTCCAACCGCCGGGCCAGGGCCCGGTCCAAAAAGTTAGGGCTGGCCTTGCTCATAATCTCATCTGCTAGTTCATCCAAGTCATCAGCTGTGAAGTGTGAGAGGAGCTGGCGCTTTGACGCTTGAACAAGCCTCGGGCCAAATTCCGCGATCATTTGAGTCAGTGTTGACCTCTGAGCCTTGTGAATCGCCGTGTTAAACTAGTCAAGGGGTTAGAGCTTGAAGCGACGTAAGTTTTCGGCAACGTAGTGTTGCTATGAAGGCCCTTCTACTCACTATAAAGGCCAAGTGATACTCTGAACCAAGTAGACAAGCTTCGTGATAATCTCTAATCACTTGCCGCAACACTTGGGGTTCAGTTCTCTGAATCAGATGCGCCAGCGCAACGTATTGTGACGAATTACACAGTTGCGTCTCATTGACTCTCGGAGATGGGAAGACAGCCCCTTGCCTTTGGACCTGCTGAGGTTGCATAGAAGGGAGCGCGAAGCCGTTGATCGGCGCGAGATGAGTTTGAGCCAATGTCAACGATGGCATCTGAGATTGTACAGTCTGCACACTTGGATACATCTGTGCCGCAGCGTTACTGTGTTGGCCCGGGGCAGCTGCTGCTCCAGAGGAAGCCGGGGTCGCTGGTATAAGGGGTGTCGCCGGTGCCGCCGGTGCAGTTGGCGCAGTTGGCGCATTTGGAGTCGGTGCCGGAGGCGGATGTGCCAGTTGAGTCGACATGGGAGGATCAGGCTGTGTGGCATTCTGATCTGAAGGCGAGTTTCGCCTGCTTGCTCCCGGCGAAGGCAAAGGGCCATTTGATGTTGATGACGCGCTTGATACCACAACGGGCGACGCCGACCCAGTCATTTTTTGGCCGGCGTGGTCCGCCATCTTGAGAGGACACGTCTCAAGCTGCATATGCCTCAAAAGATTGTGCAACAGGCGGGATTCGTGGCTAAATATATGATGTGTTAGATGAGTCTGATGGTGCCTCTTTCTCTCTCTCTCCTTTTTTTGCTCGAAGTGTCCCACGTTTGGGCAACTGCGAAACGCAAAAGGTGGATGGAGTAAACTCCAAGGGAAAAAGCATGAATAATAATGTGAACAACAATAACAAATGGACAGAAACCGTTACTATGAATGACATCCATGCAAAGGCTCGACGTACCTATATTGAAAAGCACACCTCCCGCCAAGCCAGAAATTAAACGACGTTGCCGATTTTCAAGTGCTTAACAAACGAGAGACAAATGGTGGCGCTCCACAACATTCAATGTCTCCGCGAAACACTGTACTTTCCTTCCGGTACTCAGGAAGCTTGGGTACTTAGCGGGTACCCGTTGGGCAAAGTAGGCAGGTCGACGACGGAGCGCGTGGTCAAGCCGTCAAACGCGTTGTGCCAACACACACCGAAGATGGTGAGTCAGGCCGAGCGATTTAAATTTCTCTCTGTGCTTTTTGAAAATCAGTTCCAGGTCCCTAGGCGGGCAGAGGGAGGGACAAAAAGATTTTTCCAACAAAATAACTTAAATTAAAAACGAGAAAGCAATAATAGTAGTAGGAGGGGGTTGGCCGAGGCTGGCGGAGAAAGGGCTATTTCTGCCTCACAATTTAGGCTTACACAGTCAGCGTACATAAGTTCTCTGCAGGAGCGCCGAAAATGTCAAACGCACAAAGTACCAATACCTGGGTATGGAGCGAAAGGACTGCTCTAGCTTCACTGCTTCAGCCGCGTTCAAAGTCACTTACTCTGTTGTACTCCGTACTCCGTACTTTGTATTTATTAGCCGCATGATTGAATAGGGAGCTGAATGGGCTATTTTAGCTAGGGCGCTTAATTGTAGGCTTAGCACCCTGGCTTATAATTGATCGCCCCACTAGGATTTATGATCTATCACAATGTGTGGAGCACGGAGGACTCCGTATGGTCAAGAAGCCGACCGCTTTCGAGCTGGCACTGCTGGGTCTTATTATGCCGAAAGGGTTATTATGCCCGTTAAGGCTTCAATGTCATTATGGATGCCATTTATTGCTACTAACTCATCCATTTGCTTCACGTGAGGGCTCGATTCTGACCAGAAACATAATCCGAGTGCCAACGCGGGAGTTTTGCTGGACTTCCATCCCTAGCTCTATCTAACTTGGTGCCTACTGCTAGATAAATACTTGAGCATGCCCGTTGCATTCGTCAGGTTGAGAGGTATTGGTAATGCTTTTCGTGTCGCGTCATAAGTACCCACTAACCTGCGGGTTATAATACAATCCTGGGGCGCCGAGTCATGATGGTGTATTCCATGTCGTGCACTCAAGTGGTCTCGTAAATCTCCGTCAATAACCCTGTAAACCCCCGCTCACAAATAAATATATCAGGCCTCAACGTAGAAGAGGCGATTGTTACAGAATACGTGGGGACGTAGCAGTAGATGCTCTCTAAACATTGAAATCTTCTAGCTTAATGCTACGGAGTATTATAGCATCTCAATGACCGCTGCGCCACGCATTCGGCCAGTTCCCCTCCATGCCATTACACATGGCAAACCCTGTGCTCCAAAACGCCATGCAGCAAGCCCGAAATTTCCGCAATACCATTTCCATTTTGCCCCTGCCCGTTTGTATACCTCACAACTACTCATTCTCCTCAAATCGCACCGTTGCGTCCACTTCTCAACGCCACTCGCCAATGCACGCTAGCATCAGTCTCTTGTAATCCCCAGAGACCTCTCCGTCGATACGACTGGCCAGGCTTCGGCGGTAGCGTTGTTGATATGCAGCCTTGACGTTGGATAGCATAGTGTGATCCCAGTGAAGCCGGACTACGCGAAGAACAAGCAAATAGTCTTTGGTTCCAGCGCCTCGCATGGTGTCTTCCAGCAGTTCAGCAGCGTGCATGTACTTGTCGACAGCGTGGCCCAACTGGAAGAGAAGCGCATCCTTCATATGTCCAGAGAATTCCTGCTCGCTATTAGCCCCACGCTAAACCATTCATCGTCAACAAGACCCATAAGATGGGAACCCTTCAACTTACAGAGTCAATAACCTTGGCCAAGTCACGGTTGAACTTTTGCTTATAGGTGTGGGCAATGGCACGAATTTGGTTATCGTTGTGGCTGGTCAAGATTTGACAAACAAGAATTTCATCCGTGCCCATCCTGCCTTCAGTCGCCTGATAAAGATGCATGACGGCATCGTCGACCTTTCGGGGATCCACTGGCTCAGCATCTTCGGCTCTGTTGGCCGCAAGCACCATGAGGAAGTGCCTTTCAGTCTTCATGCTCAGATCACCCTTGACATCTTGCTCCAGGGACCTGCCAAACTGCTGGCGGTATGCGCCCTTGATGGCCTTGATATCAGCGTTGGATCTGCTGAGGAGGACGTCGTTGAGGACTGATTCCTTGGTTCCGATGCCTTTCATAGCATTTCTCAGGTTGTGGACATCAGCCAGCAGAGGACCGTAGGCTAGCTGCACCAGCCCGTCTTTGAAATACCGACTTGTCTCGCTCTTGATGTCGTCGATAAGACTTCGTTTGAATGTCCGGTCAAATGTCGTCCGAATAAGGTCGATCTGTAGTGGGTCCTTGTTGGACAAAATTCGTATCAAGGCCTTTTCGTCCGTGCCAAAACCCTTCATCGCAGCCCGCAATGCCTGCACATCGGGATTGGCATCCCACTGAATGATCTGAGGCGCGCCATATCCCAACGACGGAGGCGTTGGTGGCACGGGATGGCCATATTGCTGGGGAGGAGGGGCGCCGTACTGGCCCTGGGGCGGCGCAGGCGAGTGATGGCCGTATGGCGACGGTGCAGGCGGAGGAGCATTGTAGTGCTGCGGCGGCGGCGGTTGGCCGTAGGGTTGCTGGTGAGGAGGAGGATAATGGCCCGGCGGAGGCGGAGGCGGCTGTTGATAGTATCCTCCCTGCTGGGGAGGCGGATAATGCCCTTGTTGAGGAGGGTATTGGCCTTGCTGAGGGGGGTATTGGCCTTGCGGCGGAGGATACTGGCCGTAGCCTGGTTGTGGTGGCGGTTCTGTTGAATATTTCAAAACGCCGGTTAGTGCAAGCTGTTGAGCAAACTGCCGAACAAGGGGCTTTCTTTGCGCATGCAGGTGCTGGGTCTTACTCACGACCGTAGGGCTGACCATATCCTTGATACGACATTGTGACAAAGGGATTCTGCGTATCGGGTTGCGGTCCTTTGTCTGTTCCCGAGTCGATATGATATGTGACGCAAGCAGCCACGGCAGATGGAATCGACAGGTGGATTGAAGAGATGCGCCAGCGACAGAAATGGCCGTGACGAGGGGAGGGATTAGCTTAAGTAGCTTAAGTACGCGCAAACCCACTCTGATGGCCCGAAAAGGCGTTCACTTGCTCTCGTCAGCCTTGGTAACCTTACAACCACCTTGATACCAGAGTCTACGGAGCGAGCAAGGCACTTCTTGGGCAAGCCGTTGAGACTTGCTCGGCAGCTTCAACCATTGACAGTCTGGTGGCGACAAGCCATCAATGATCAATCACAGGGTGGCTGAGCCTGGAGCTGAAGTTGCTGGGCTGGCCATTCAACGTCATGTAGCGTGCTCAAAGTGGGCAGCTTGCTGGACGGAACCCCGCACGCAGTAGGTCTCGCGTGAGCCTCACATGATGACGTTTTCTCCGACAAACACATTTGACAGTTGCGTGGACCATGGATTAACGTGCAATTTGTGGGCGATATTTCGATGCAAACATCAGACCTACTTTTCTGCGACGAAGCAGCGCAGCACTTATCCAAGTTCTGTTGCTGGCTGCCATGTCGCTGTGTGTGGCGGGCTGGGGCGGCGGAAGCAATGGGATCAATTGATGCGGCGGGCAGAGAATACTCTGCATCGAGTGCTGGGGTTCCTTTCGGCCAAGGCAAAACACTCTCCGAAATCTCTCCTGGTAGCGGTTGAACTCCGTACTCGCCTGTTGAATTGCCACCGATTCAGGTAGCTGCTGTTCATGTTCGCATTCAGTCTTGACTGGCTGTTAGTGTCATCCCAGTTGCGCCCAAGTCACACATCCTGATTGCACTGCCACAAGGCCTCCAATGCAGTTGCGCAATGAGTGACTAAGCTACCGAAGTCAGGCTGCCCTTGTCTTGGCTGGGCTCTGCAGCTGCGACGATGGCGGCAAGTAAAAAACAGGATGCTCCTTTGTCGACACTCGGTACTCAGGACGGACTAACTACTCGTGCCACGCCCCACATTAGGTTGTTCAGCTAGCAAAGCCCTCACCACCTAAGGTGGTGCTTAACACCAAGGCGGGCCACTTAGCAAGCTAGGCTACTTTTTAATTTATAACGCGTTTACCCGCGAAAATAGCTATAATAAGTGTTTAAAACATAAAAAGTAAAGTGGAATTACGTGTTATTAAGGCTCTTTAATTTATTAATGAAAATTTAAGTGTAAAACTTCGCGCTATAGCCTAAAAATTTAACGTGTTTTATAGTAAGCTTTAATAATAGATTAATAGCGTTATTATTAGGGAAAGCTATCTAGCAGCTAATATAAGGCTTTTAAGAGAAGAAGAAGTTACTTTATATAATTATATTAATTGCCTTAATAATACGAATTTCGTTATATAAGTTAAATTTATTATAGATATTATAAATTACATTTTAAAAGAGAGGTTATTATTAATAGCCTTACTTAAGCCTCTTAAAAAGCTTTAAATTACCTGCTTTATTAAGCGGTATAAATATAATAAATACCTTTAAAGAAAGCTTAATATAAATTAAAAGGCCTTAAAAGATACTAAAAGGGTTCTTACTTATTTTAACACCTTAAAAGCTATTATTAAGAAGTATAAAATCCCTTCTTATAATATTTAAAATATAAATAAGACTAGCTTTTATATTAGTATTAAAAAATAAAAGCTTATTATTATAAAGCGAAAAAGGGCATATCTTTTTATAATGCCTAAAAATTACGAGTTAGTAATAATAATAGAAGAGGTCTCTATTACTAGCCTTTTTATTTTTACCTTTCTTATTCTTTTAAGGTAAAAACACATGTAATTTTAGTATAAATTAGAGGAACTTAAAGTAAATATAAAGATTATAGTCTTATTATTAGGTTATTCTAATAACGAGATTAGCTTCGCTTAAATATAGTATTTTAATGAGTTTTTAAAGCCTATTAGCAATTATTACCTTTTAATCCTAGTGTAACGCGCACATAGAGTCACCTATAAAGAGGGACCGAATTAGGCACCGCGTATAGGGAGTTACCTATAAAGAGGGATTAAATTAGGTTCGCTTATATGTGCTTAACACCAAGGCGGGCCACTTAGCAAGCTAGGCTACTTTTTAATTTATAACGCGTTTACCCGCGAAAATAGCTATAATAAGTGTTTAAAACATAAAAAGTAAAGTGGAATTACGTGTTATTAAGGCTCTTTAATTTATTAATGAAAATTTAAGTGTAAAACTTCGCGCTATAGCCTAAAAATTTAACGTGTTTTATAGTAAGCTTTAATAATAGATTAATAGCGTTATTATTAGGGAAAGCTATCTAGCAGCTAATATAAGGCTTTTAAGAGAAGAAGAAGTTACTTTATATAATTATATTAATTGCCTTAATAATACGAATTTCACTATATAAGTTAAATTTATTATAGATATTATAAATTACATTTTAAAAGAGAGGTTATTATTAATAGCCTTACTTAAGCCTCTTAAAAAGCTTTAAATTACCTGCTTTATTAAGCGGTATAAATATAATAAATACCTTTAAAGAAAGCTTAATATAAATTAAAAGGCCTTAAAAGATACTAAAAGGGTTCTTACTTATTTTAACACCTTAAAAGCTATTATTAAGAAGTATAAAATCCCTTCTTATAATATTTAAAATATAAATAAGACTAGCTTTTATATTAGTATTAAAAAATAAAAGCTTATTATTATAAAGCGAAAAAGGGCATATCTTTTTATAATGCCTAAAAATTACGAGTTAGTAATAATAATAGAAGAGGTCTCTATTACTAGCCTTTTTATTTTTACCTTTCTTATTCTTTTAAGGTAAAAACACATGTAATTTTAGTATAAATTAGAGGAACTTAAAGTAAATATAAAGATTATAGTCTTATTATTAGGTTATTCTAATAACGAGATTAGCTTCGCTTAAATATAGTATTTTAATGAGTTTTTAAAGCCTATTAGCAATTATTACCTTTTAATCCTAGTGTAACGCGCACATAGAGTCACCTATAAAGAGGGACCGAATT